ATCACCAAAATGAAAACAAAGAAGGTCTGAAATATCTCACTTTAAGTTTATTAAATACTCGATTTCTTGATATGTGCTGATATTTTATCTGTGTCTGTTCCTCAATCTTTGCCAGGTCACAACTCTATCATTTTACCTTGATGTAATTGAGTATGACATCACTGCAGGCTGAAATTATCTGCAGTGTTTGGACTGTATTTCTAAAACAATCTGACATCTTAGAACACATCAGATAAACACACAAAACATATGGATACCAGGATGACAATTATTCATAATGAAGTTTGAGGGTCACACAAATTAAAGGATTATCCAAGGAATTGGCAGGGAAATATGGTAGAAACTTATGAAAAATGGAGGTGTTGGCAGGAATGACTGAGTAGTCACATATGTTACCTATTAGAGTAGTTCTCCTTACCTCATCACATATGTGGACAGCGAGCAGCAAACTGAGGAAACCGGTCGAAGGATATCGTCCATGACTGTCAAGCCACGATTCGTAGACGTATTTGAAAAATGTTGGACTGTAAATCAACACCTGAAAAAGAGTGAGAAGAATTTCTACTCCTTTGTCATTTATCAAAATCAGGAAATGAAGAAATGTAAGTCACCAGTGCAGACTGCTTTTTAGATATTCGGTCTAGAGCAGATTGTGCTGGGCCCCAAATCGAATTCTTTATGGTACACTTCAGAAAAGTGGATAATGGTATAAACTTAGAGACAACAAAATAAAGCCAAAATGTGCTTTGTGTGCCCTTTCGAGGAAAATAAACCCTCTTACCACATCATGTTTTGTAAAGTGTAAAAGAAAATAAGATACACTCTCCACTTCACCTTGATCACACAACACACAAAATGTTTTTCTCTTGAATATTATGGAATCAATTGATGTTAGTAGCCACTGAAAAACACCCTGCTATCATCTGTGTGATTAAAGAGCGTTGACTTCAAGTTGAAAACAGGACTTGTGTCGTCTATTTGATTTTATAAAGATATTTTTAAAGAACTGGCATGTTAGCATGATGCTACACTCGGTCCACGCTACACTCGTGTGGCTGTAGTTGTTAGAAATTTTCTTGACTGCATTAAAATATTTTTTTATTGCCACTGATCCTCTAATACAGTGCTGTGCATATTTGCAACTTTAAATATTTCAGATCATTAAACAATTTTAGTATTAGATAAAAATAACAGAGTAAAACCAAACAACATTTTTTAAAGGATGATTTTCATTTATTAATGGCCTGGTGTGAAAGTACTTGACCCCTAAAACTAAAAAATGCTTGTGGCACCCTTGGCAGCAAGAACCACAATGAAGTGTTTGCGAGGAGTCTTTTC